TGTCTATAATTATGTAAAACACATTACATGCATTTGACATGATACAAATTATAGATAATGAGACATTATGCAAATGTATCGGGGTTATTCAAATCAGATATACTATATATGTATTCAAACCCGCAGTAATTTTCGAATTATATCGTCATGTTGAAATATTCGTTGAACTCTCCTCGTTGGGGGAATAATGTACATTGTCAAATTTAAGTTTAACCAGTCTTCTCTATCTTTGAAATAGTATTTTTCATTTACAAACTGAAAAGTAAATCGATTTAAATAAATATACCAAATACTATATGATGATGTATAAAACTAAACGTTTTCATAGAAATATATAAGAGTATAAAAAATACATGACTAATACACTTTTAAATTTCTTTTAAAATTATGTTTTTAGATTTTATACTTTATTTATATTATAAAATACCTTTGGAAATTTTCAAATTCATTGTTTTAAAATGTGGTGATGTAATAAATACGTCTTTTTCGTTTATGAGCACACTTTCATTATATTTGTTAACTTTTTTTATTTCGCTAATTACTTATTGACTCTATAGTTGTCAGTATATCTTAGAATAAACCAAAATTAAATTTATTATTAACGTCATCATCGAGGTTTACTAAAACCCGGGGAAAAAAATCAAATTATTTGTTCCTCCGAACCACTATGCCTTTCTTTCTGTAAATGAAAATTTTCATCCGGAGGTGTTCTTCGCTAATCACAAATCCACTTCCAGACCAGTCCAACACACCGTCCATCAACGTAGAATCCTCTCCAAGTATCAAAATTCAAATACTTCCCTTTTATACAATTGGAGAATACGAATTCTCCGCGCTCAAACACACTATTTTATATTGTCGACCCGTTGAGCATTTATTTTCAACTACTCATAAATATTACTTTTAATGCAATTAATTAATTCCTAGGCAATAACAAACCGATCGAATTCCACACATTTTTCTTAAATCATTAAAACCATACAGTGTATTTATCAAGTACTCGTCCACTTCTGTAGAAGAGATACAAACCAGCATATCAGATAAAGGTCATCATGTTATTCATGTCATGAATATCCTATACCATTCCCATTGTCTCTTTTTCTGATCGATTCAAATCGCCTACTATCGAGTTCTATATTCCCTTAATTAGTGCTTTAGTTATATATTTTAACCATGTCAAATTTATAATCTTCAATACTTTTAATGCTTTCATTATAATATTGTTATAGATATTATTTTCTATTTTCTTTTATTATTATAATTATTACTGTTATTATTTAGATTATGTTATAAATATTTAAAATAATCGGCATTTTTCAACTTTCACTATTCGTTGTATAAAGAAAATGTGCTTATTCTTATTTTGTAACGTAAATATATATATTGTATTATATACTATAATGTATGCATTTTAATTGTCAGTTACAAGTTATTCTACAATTTATTCTACTTTTTCGGTATTAAAATTGAATAAGAAAATGAAACGAAACGCTCAGAACTGTTGTACGAAGAATATTTCTAAATAGCGAATTGAACACTGAAAACTAAAACAAAGCAATGATAAAATTTTTTGTAAAAATGCTCAAATTATTCATCCGTACAAATTGTTTAAAAAAAATCATTAAAGTAAAATAAAAATATAATAGTAATAAGAGCTACTATAACATTATAATAGCTCTCGAGGGCGCAATGTTTTTTCTTCTCTCGTCAAGGAAAATTTAGTTGTGGCACTTATATTAATGCAATTTCAACAAGCGGACTTATCAAAAAATCAACTGATTGCGACTAGGATACGTTGAATCGACAATGCAAGTGCTCAGAAATAATTTAAAAATAGTAATTTGCTTTAATTTAACAAAAAAAAAATGAAAAAAATGGACCCTTGAGGGTATTTTTTATACCTTTCACGATATCGTACAATAAATCGGAAATAGACATGCGTTTTGCAGTCCACCGCTCCTCTGAGTACGGCGATCAATCGAAGTGTACACGGCGTGATTGCATTATTGTCCACAGATACGGACAAATGAAAACATCCGCAGATTTTTATATACAATATTAATGTCTACATACTCATGTTTCTGTGCACTTTTCTGGGTATTGACAGTCTTATAATATTTCGATAACAGTTTATATATTTCTTCGGACGGGGATCACCCACCATATAATAATACTACATGTCGAAATAGTTAATCATTCACACGCTGATAGCTACAAATAATAGTCCAGCCCTGTTGTTTTCGTGTTGTTAATGACGTAGTCTGAATGAAAAAGAAACATTAAACCTCGTGTAAGCCAAAACTTTCGCACCAAACCAGGTTTTGTACTTAAGCTGAAAAATTGCCATCCCTCCCAGACCACCGCTACCATACACACCCGACCGTCAAACAATTTATTTCCTTCTCGTTATTTCTTCTTCTTCTTATTCTTCTTCTATATTTTTTTTCATTTTTAATATCTCTGCGCGTCATGACTGCACGGACTGGTTTGAGCAGTTTTAAATTTATCATCGTATTTGGATGTCTCGGGCGTATATATAAAAATTGGTCGATTATCGTTTATTGTTTGAAGAGAAATAAAGAAAATGATAACGCGTTGTTTTTATAGTACTGGAGCTCGAGGATTATCCTTCGATGATTAATAGCTTCTTTTCTTCCTATCCGCTGTTGCTATTGCTTCTTCTTCTCCCTACCCCTCTTTCGAAATCCCACTATAATTCATCTCGGCGACTTAGTTTTGACGTCGAGTCTTTTTGAAGGTTATTGAACTGTGCTGAAAAATGTATTCAATTTTTCCCGACCAGATATCTTGGATTGTGTTACTGGCAACAAATTTTATTCTGCAAACCACCTTTGTTTCTCACCCAATTGTCCTGTCACGCTTTGCATGTGTGTGTGTATGTGTTTGTGTTTTGATACTTTTCTATAAGTTTATTTTTTTTTTTTTAGAGTTGGTATATAAGGGGCACGTTAACACTCGGTAAACAATTTTAGTTTTATTATTTTATCAGTGGTTTTCGTGTGCGGCAAGTGTAATGTAACGAGATCACATGAATATGTATACATACCTACAGAATAAACGTCATGAACAAATGCACAAAGAAAAAACAAATAGAATGAATAAATTCACGTAAAAAATTTCATGTACTTTTGAACATTCAATTATAATGGTTTATATTATTTTTCTTGCAAGTCTAATGTATAAAATGTTTACGATTGCGCTCTCCCTCAAAATTCATAATTTATGAGATACCCGTGTGTACGCTACATGATTTTGTGTGTAAACGACACAGTTTTGCTGAAGTATTTAAACAACAATTATTATGAAATTACTTTGGACGACTTGGAAAAACTGATCCGATTTATAATTAAATACGGAATTTCTTCATTTAAATGGAATTTAATACATAAATCGTTTGGGTTTTAGAAATACGATTGGAACACAGTAAAGAAATATTAATTTTCTGTGTAAATATAAAACAAAATATACATAAATATAATATTCGTTCTTCCTTGTATATTAGTGTTTTGTATTGCTGACCCGAAATTATTCGTAAAATCCTGTACACTATTGAAAGTATAGTCACATGTATATATTATGCACATGAAGATTTATGCCATTAAATGCGAAAAACTTCATTGATGACAATACTGTTTATAGTTTGTAAATAGGACTCGTATTTTAGAATGTATTTCTTGAAAGTAGGAAGTTTTAGCCCAAATATAATATTATAAACCTTAATAATAAAAGCGTATATTATATTAAATTCGAATGGCCCCTTGCCCTCTCCCTTAAAGCCGCCACTGACATGTTGTACAAGTAGGTAAAAGTTATATATATGTGTAATAGATACTAAAGTAAATTATACTAAACTCTACTTTATAAGTACACTCACCTTTACTAAGATTAGTAAAAATAATGATGATCAGTAGATTTGTTTATTTAATTATTTAATTGGGTGAGAAAATATAATTCAAATTAAAAATATAAAAATTTCCTAATCATAAATGCGTCTTTTTACTGAGTGTACTTACAGCCAAATATTTTCTAAAATTTGAAGTGGATCTGGTGTCAGCGCATAATGTTTTAGGTCCAATATAATGTACACATTTAACATAGAACTTAGAGTAGGACATCTGTTCATCTATTAGTTTTACAATATAAAAATGTTTGTTGTAAGCATCCCATGGTAGTTTAATTTGTGTTTGGCTGACTTCGTTCTTTTCAGATTGCGACATCACAAAATACAAATCACGGAATATAATATTTTAATAAATAAGAACGTGATATTATTAATTTATTTCTATTCGACATCACAATGGCACTTTAAAAATAATGCTTAACACAGAACAGAGATAAAAAAGTTTATACAAATAGATATACCGGTATGGTGGTATGAATGTATAAAACGCATTCATGCCATATAATAATGTATATTATCAAAAATTATATTTCAATCGACAGGCAATAATCCTAGAATATACTAAATATAAACGTAATTATAGCAACCGATTCATTTCTTGGGTAGAAAACTCGGTTTATCCCTAAATATTTATAGATATCTTCTCAGTATTGCTGAACTTTACTACAGACGAGATGCTGGCTATAGGGTTCTCAACATTAATGAGTGAAAAAATATAAAATATAAAATAGTATAATCATTTAAAAAAAAAAAAAAAAAATGTGATGACTGACGACTGAATTTTCAAAAGTATTTGATTTTCAAATACAAATACGTCCAAGACTGTATTTAAAATACTTCCCAAATACTCAAAACAAAAAGTATTCTAAATACAACAAAAATATTTAAATACCTTTACTCAAATACTTTACAGGACTGCTTTTGGGGTGGACTAGGAATGGTAATTGAATTTCCATTTATAATTAATAAATTAAATATAATAGTTTCTATAATTATTTAAGTGTATCAAATTTTCCATTATTCGTTATTGTAAATAGGTATTTACAAGTCAAATATTTTTATTTTTTTTTTTTTGCAGAGACGTGGCCAGTAATAATATTACGGATATAGACGAACAAGTATTCAGGCGATTGGCTCTATTGGAAGATCTGTAAGTTTTTTTTTTTTTCATAAAACGTATATGTTTTCAATTTTTAGAAAGTTAATATAAAAATTATTTTAATTTTCTTTTAACCTAAGGTAAACGAAGTGTACTCTTAGTTATAAGTTGTCATATATATGTAGTGGGTGTGCTCTATATTTTTATTTTTAATGAACAAATAGTATTTGAGCGGATAATTTAATTTATGCGTTTTATGTATAAAATTACTAATTATATGGGAAAAATACTGAACTAATACTATAATTTCTAATAAAATCAATGCTTTTGTATAATTTATCAATAAATTCATAAAAATTCATATTCTTTCACACAAGGGTTATTTCAATATTTTTTTGTAGAACAGTAAATATAATGCTGAAATATTAAAAAATATACTTATCAAAATATATATATAAATATATAAATATATAATTTATTTAACTATATATATATATATATAAATTAAATAACGTGTATTGTATCTAAAGTATTTAAACTATACATTTTGAAATTTTGAAATAATTGACGAGTGAACAAAAATTAGGGTATTATTTATATTGAACAATAGCGTACTTATTATGCCATAAAACTTTATATGTATCTTCGTGTACCTATATCTATTTGAAGTATATTTTTGTCCAAATTTACGCGGGTCTTAGATACGTTTCACAATTTAACCATCATATTACTCTAATTATTACACGTATAAAACTCTTTTAGAATGTTGTTAAAAACAAAAAAATCAAAATGTTTAGATATATACTTACGTGTATACGTAGTATATATACAATTATACGATTACACATGTCGGTGTTGTCGTTTCCCAATAAAAATGGCAAGTGATAATGGTTAAGAATTGCCTACCATGGTTAGCGCTGACGTTTCCTGGTCACGTACCGATCGTAAAATTTGTCAGATCGGACGTTTTAACTTTTCCATCCACCAACAAGGGAATTTGTTCAAATACCGTTGATAACAGCCCGGGTTGATTAAATGACTATTTTAGAATTTGGATTTGCGCGATGCTTTTCGAGGGGTTAAAGAATCACCGGACATCAATAAAACTGTTTGTCCCAAAATGGTCATGGTTTCACATCGATCCCTTCTCCAGGAATAATTTATTAATAATGATTATAACTGATCGCAGGTTATTACGCATTATATTTTTTCTTGTTTCCGAATAAAAAAAAAAAAAAAAAAAATAATAGGAATCACGAACAATTCATTTCAATTTGAGAACGATTCAATGAATTGTATTATTAAATTAGGCGTTTTATAACTATATACTAGTGATAGGTCGAACTGTTCGAATCTCGAACCGAACCGAACCCTTGATGTTCGGTTCAGTTCGAAATTCGAACTTGACATGAAAAAAAATCGAACCAAACTATCAAGCATCTTTTACTGTTCGAAAATCGAACTTGAAAATATTTGTCGAACCAGACATACTGGCCACGATAGTTCGAAAAACCAAATATTTGTACAATTCTTCAAATGTTATTTTTAAAAAGTAAAAATTGATAATGATTATTTAGAAATAATTAGACTATTGGCGATAGAAAGTGATAATCTGTAAAGGGCACGTTATGCATCATTTATAATAATAATATTTTTTCCAGTTACATGATACACATCCACCTTCCGCCGACTAAATCATTAATAAGTTGTTTATCGCCAATAGAGGTAGTGTATCTACATTTATAATTTAGCTATTTTTGTTTTTATCATATTTATTGTAGAGGTTAAAATCTATTTTAGATAAATCCATGATAATATTCCGATACCGTGACTGTGCCGTTAATAAAAACATATTTACAACTTACGTCTTACATTATAAATTCTATTAATCATTCTATATTTGTGAAATATAGTTATTATTACTATTTTCTTTATGTACTATTAAAATGTACTGATTGTATTATCATATTACACTCAATACTCAATACTCAATGAATATTCTATAACCTACAAGACAACACGAGAGAGCACAATACTGGTTTTGAAAAATAATAATAATAATAATAAGAAATTATCTAAAATGTAAATGTATTGTAAATAATACTGTAAACAATTACTTAGAATTTAAAGTTAAAATGTAGAATAGGTAATACGAACATTTAAAATACAATAGTAATTAATAATTATAGTTGATTTAATTTGTAGGTAAGTATAATGTACACGATAAAAGTATTGAGTTCGAGTTCGACTTAAAATTTATTCAAAAATTTCGTAGAACGTTTTTGCGTTTTACAAGTATGCACAAATGAAATACTTATATATATTTGTATAAAGTGTGAAATAATTTTTTAATGTTTCTTTGGAAAAAAATTTTGAGTACGGTTATATATTATCTTCTCGATGAATATTTTCCATATTATTTTCTTTTCATAAAATCAAATCGTGAAGGTTTTTTACTTTGGAGATTCTTCAGGAATCTGTACGCACGATAACCTATTTAACAGTTATTAAAGTGACGGATGTAATCATAAATATTTCATACTTCATTTCATGACAGTATAAATGTTTAATACTAATATTACATATTATTATCTTTCATACATCTTGGAAGTTTTCCAAGAACAAAATTTGGAGAATTAACACGTGACCAAAGGATGCGTATAACTTTGATGAACTACTTTCGTTCGATAAAACAATAAACTGATCTTCACAATCTGACTTATCGTCGAAATTATTATACTATGTGTTGTATTTTATTTACTTTTGTACTTTTTCACGTTTTTATCTTCGTGTTATTGTACCTTAAGGTTTAACCATCTAAATATTTGTTAACGTTTATGCACCGTAAATCGTGTGTTAATTCATGTGTGAGTTGTAGGTGAAATACGTGCTAAGCGATAAACCTAAAAAAAAAAAAAAAACAGTAGTTTGTAATTTTCTCGCTTCGAATTTTTCTTTATATTTTTGGCATTATATTCTTGGGTCTTTTTTTAATGTTTTTGACCTTACTCAACCTACACGATCGTTCTTCATCATTACACGACATGAAGCAGTCATTAATCACGTATGCGATACCAACGTTGTAGTATAATTTTATTTAATACAATATATGAAATTTGCATTAGATTGTAAATTAAAGACGTTTACGCGTGATTTACGGTGTAATTAATATTAGACGTAGTACGCTGTTAATAACACGGTTTAGAATTAATGGATATTATGAATATTTAATTAATTTTGATCGCGATCTAGTCTTTAGCCCAAATATCGACACTGCATCGTTTTTAATAATAAAAACACAAAATTGTGTTGTGTAAAACCATAAACCCACGGAATCATTATTTTACGACTGTGATTCAAATAAATTGGACATGATATATATAACTTTACAATATATATGTATTTATATATAACGATAAACTCACATGTCGTCATCTAGTTAATAACATTTGCATTAAATTTTAACGAGATATAGTTGTCAGTTTTCAAAATGGTCAAAACCGTCTAGGGAGTCCATTTAACATTTCATATCAACGTATTCATATAAATGTTCATTAACATTATATACATATATATTTATACACTGGCAAATTTTAAAACGTTTTATAATATGTCCCACGAGAGAATGGCCGAGCAGTGAACGGAACAGAGATCTGAGTGGCAATAGTGTGTATGTGTGTGTGTGTGAATACGTAGATACATTCACAAAACTCCGCCCATAACCTAATCGAAACGACGTCCAAACGTCTCCGCCTCCAATTTAGAATGAACCCAAACTTTTTTTACCCCTAGATATGTCTGTATAAAGTCTATTACAAAAATACATTTATTTCGAACACAATGCCACCGCGATACGATTAAAAGGGCGCGCACTTAATCGGGACTGCAGGATGGACGGGGAAGTTTTCGTACGATTCGGCATGATCATCATTAAGTTATCAAATCGTACTCGAAATGAGATATATTTTGTTGATTGATGGAGCGCGGAAACGTTTTAAGCAAAACCAATGAATACTTTCCGTAATTCATATCGTCATTTCAATTATTGCTGTTCGCATCACCACGATCGGTCACCATAATATGTATTATAGTAGACATAGTTTTCGTTTACATCATAGTTTTTGGAATATAATATTATATCGCATATTGAAACGTCTTCCGTTAATGGGGGTTCGTTTTCAGCTAGTGTTAAGTAAAACAAATACTAATAACGAACGATGATCCTTCCATTGAAAGCTGGACGACAAAAAAACGAAAAATTCAATTAGCAATTTATTTCTCAGCGATCAGGGATCTTAATGTTGTGCACAATGTCGTGATAGACGACAGAAAATTTCAAACGTATCATGCCAATGTTTCCGCCTCGTCACACTTTATTTAAAGTGGAATTGTAATTTTAAAACTAAATTACTCAGTGAATATGATACATAATAATATTTGTTGTACAAAAACTAATAATACTCCAACAAAAAGTTCGTTTAGTATCGAATTCCGAATGGTGTTACATACTCAGTTTGAATTGTTTAATAAATCGTTTAATATTTGTTTAGTGTACGCACGTGTCATCCACAGGGGAAAACTGTGACTTACGTAATGGAATATGGCGAAAAATCATGATTTCAAATTGCAACTTAATTCCATTCTATACATTGATGCACCGACTTTGAAGACGTGTATTGACCATGATAGATGTGTAATATTATGCGACCCAAGAATGAAGACGACTATGAAATACAAATTTCATCGTTATTAGAGTGAAAATGAAACGTATTAATATATTATGTTTCATGTAAACAACATTTTTTTAAGTTTATTGATCGTTCCTTCAAAGGCTTCGTGTACGTTTTCGAATGTACAAGGTCACGCAGAACCGTAGATAGGAATTTTCTATCGGGAGGGTTCAGTTCTATAGATATGCGTTTTATAGAGGATATCATTATAGAAAATTACATTGAGTTCAAAATTGTGAGAATAAAATTATATTTTCATAATAACACCAAGTCAATATTTCTCGGCTTCTTAGCCATTTCAATCACTACTTCATCTGGCGT